TATTCTTCTCAACAGCCAGACGAAGCCACTTTTTACAACACCAGCAGGAAGAAGAGGAGACTAATTGAAGGAAAATGCAAGCACATAACGAACCGTCACCATGGAAGTCGAAGAAGCGAATATTTGAAGAAATCTACTTTGGATGCTGATAATATACCAATGGAAATTCCAAAGAAAATGATTAGTTTTAGCCTGCCATTTCAGAAGTTCATCAAACATAGACATCTCCTAGACTCTGCTCATGGCCCCCATATTTCAATTATGAGAATGTCGCTCTTGCTTCTAAGGGGTTTCGAAAACTATCTCACGCTTCTTGTACGATATAGAGCCCGAATTCATAGATTCAAAGTATTTCTATGCTGCCATGAGAAAGAGAGCTTACAACCACGATCTCCCCATTGAGAACAGATTTCCACTTCTTCTTCTCCCCAGAAAGATGATACATGAAGTATTGCCCACCCCAAAGAAATGGTGGCCTAAATGGGATAACAGAACCCAGTTAATACTCTTAGTCAACTTAGCACTAGCAGTGCAGGTCTGCAAAGAAATTTAACTGGGTTCTGTTATCCCATTTAGGCCACCATTTCTTTGTGTTGGGCAATACTTCCTGTATCATCTTTCTGGGGAGAGGAAGAAGTGGAAATCTGTTCTCAATGGGGAGATTGTGGATGTAAGCACTTTTTCTCATGGCAGTACAGAAATACTTTGAATCTATGAATTTGGGCTCTATATCGTATAGCAAGCGTGAGATTGTATCCCAAACGCCCTTAGGAGCAAGAGCGACATTCTCATAATAGAAATATGGGGGGCCAAGAGCAGAGTATGGGAGATTTCTACGTTTGATGCACTTTTCAAATGGCAGGCTAAAATTGATCATTGGCTTTGGAATTTCCATTGGTATATTATCAGCATTCAAAACAGCTTTCTTCAAATATTCTCTTCTGAGACTTCCATGATGACGGTTCATTCTGTGCTTGCATTTTTCTTCAATTAGTCTCTTCTTCTTCCTACTGGTGCTGTGAAAAGTGGCTTCGTCTTGCTGCTGAGAAGATTAAATCAATAACAGAACTAGCTTTCCAAAGGCTTAAAATGATGTTCTAACATCAACTAAAAATAAGGACGATAACAAAAACAAAATGAAAAAACAAATTATGGACCTTCCGAGTACCTTTTTTATAATTGGAGATCCCGAAACTATTCCACGAGACTTTTGGGCCATTTGAACAGCATGGATTGAATCCGCAAGCTCCAAAACGGAAGCATATAGTCCTGCATGGGTCAAAGATGTTCGTTTTGTGTAGAATCTGGCTGTGTTGATAAATCAGATTGTATTATTGCCTTGGAACTCAAGCCATTTTCTAGTGCTCGCTGAGGGGAGCGGACCCCTGCTTGGGTTCAAGTGCTTTGAAACCAAAATTTTTTTTTGTTGGTACAACGCCCCGGCGTTGTGTACACGAGCGCCCCAATGCTAATCGATAAAGAGCAGAGAGCTGAGAGTTTGAGTGCTACAACGTCATAATGACAGAGGCTTGAGCACCGCAATGCTCAAAACTGACACTGCAACGCTTCGAGGTGGACTGCACAGTTTTCTTTCTCATTTTTTCCTCAAAGATTGCTTACCATGGAGTTATTAACTTGACTTTTTCTTGTATTGTGAATAATTAGAACAAGAGAATAATGAGGTGTAAGTGAGAAGAGTATCAAGTAAAAAGCAAGAAAGATGAGAAATCTATGCTTATTTCTCCCCATTTTCATAGTTGATTTCTTGGTGTGGTGTGACTTCGTGATTTTCTTCGCTATTTTGGATTTTTTTTCACGTTAAATCCTGGTATCATTTACTTTTTAGTTTCTTTATTGTTTCACTGCAGTGTTTTTACTTCCATCCCCAACAAAATAACCATTATTAGCCTTAGATCAGTAACTTGAAGTTAACTTAATGCATCCTATTCAATAAACATTCATGTTGAGTACTACATATGGTTTTAGTTCTAATTTAAACAATACTTACTGCACACTTCAGCATTTTGCATTTGGTCTTTTAATCAACCCATTTTTTTAATACTCCTTTCACATTTACTTTTTCCTCATGATGTAGAATGGGAGGGTGTGTAATTAAAAAAAATATTAAAGAGCTAAAATTTCATCTTATATTTTCCTTAATTAATGGATTTGAATTTGAAATTCAAATACGAAAAAAAAATGGAGGGAAGAGAGGAATTAATAATCTCCTTAATTGGGGTCTTTAATTTTGAAGAAAATAACTAGGATAAAGGAGAGAGAGAGAACGGCCGACCTAATGAGGAGGGAAAGGAAAGGTGTCCACATACAATGTATGTGGATCCGGAGGTGTTTATGGGAGAATTGGCTGGTGGAAAGTGGGGGATTTTGGTCGGCGGTCAAGGGAGGAGGAGAAAAGGATTTAGGGAAACAAAGATACAACTGTGAGCCCGGACACATCCTGCAACTGATGGGTACTATGTTGCCCTTCTCCAAGGGACTTCAAGCCACGAGCCCGGACACATCCAGCAGCTGGTGGAAGCTACGAATTCCTCCCATAGGAATCTCTCCCAAGTTCTCTCCAAAGAGCACAAGTGCAAACAAAATTTTTGTAATAATCCATCATTGTCTAATACAAGAGCAAGGGACTCTATATATAGGCTTTAAAAGAAAATAAAAGACAACTTTTGCCCCTTGAGCTTACATAAGACAAGACCCTTAAGTAAGGATAAAAACGAAAAATGCATAATTTAAATAAAAAATACAATTAATAAACTATGATAAAATTGAGGGATCTCGACCGTCGATCTTCATCACTTCCTTTGATTAGCATCCATCGTCGGATGTCCGCATCATTCTCCCGGAGTGGAAAAGATCTCGACTCCGTCGAGTCCTCACCCCGAGTAACCATGCTCTGATACCAAACTGATATAGAACGGGAGGGGGTAATTAAAAAAAAAACATTAAAGAGCAAAAATTTCATCTCATATTTTCCTTAATTAATGGATTTAATTTGAAATTCAAATACAAAAAAAGGGAGGGAAGAGAGGAATTAATTATATCCTTAATTGGGGCCTTTTATTATGAAGGAAATAATTATGATAGAGGAGAGAGAGAGAGAGAGAGAGAGAGAGAGAGAGAGAGAGAGAGAGAGAGAGAGAGAGCGACCTAATGAGGAGAGAAAGGAAAGGTGTCCACATACAATGTATGTAGATCCATGCATTAATAGAAAATTAGAGAGTTAAATCTTAAATAATTTCAGATTTAATATGATTGAAGGATTTCCTAAAATAGATGTATGTTATTTAGGAAAGAATTTAAAATTCAAATTCATTTGAATTCAAAAACTTTCCAAATAAGATAGGAGCTAATTTAGGAAACTAATGATGGTGAAATTAAATAGGAATTAAGTGATTAGTTAATCAATCAATTTTGAAATTGATTAATTATTTGAATGAAAGAAGTTACCAAAAATAAAGTAATTAATTAGGATGGATTTGAAATTCAAATTTTGGAATTGGTGTCTAAATTTCTTACTTCCCAATTTCATTCTTGACCAAAATTATTATATTCAAATTTTGTGAATGATGAGATCACGTTATAACCAACATATTTTTTGGTGCCCAATTCCAATTTTCTTGTTATGGGTGTTGAGTTTTTTATTTCTGAATAAATTTTTTTCATGCAAAGTTGGTTTTAAGCTCTAATATTATGGCTTGCTTAGGAAAATACCTTATTGTAAGAAGTTAGGTAATGAGTGGAGGCCTTGCTTATATTTGAGATTAGTGTGAATATTTTAATTGTTGAAAATGAATCATTTTTTCTTTGATATTAACTTATTGTGGGACGATATAAACAAAGCCTCAAGAGGCATTCACCCTTGAAAATAATTTAATCAAATATATGTGGGTGAACTTCTAAGTTTTTTGAGTTTGAGTTGTGTTTTGCACTTGTGTTCTTTAGAAAGAACATTAGTGAAATCCCTGTGGGAGGGAGTCGGAGTTTCCAAAAGCCGCATGATGGATCCGGGCTCGTGGCATGAAGTCCCATGGAGGAGGGCAACGTATCACCCGTCAGTCTTCGGAAGAGTCCAAGACTCACGGTTTAATCTTTTATCTTTTGTTTTTGTTGTTGCTCCTTCTTGTTGTTCCTAGTCGTCATCTTCATCCTCTCCCTACTTCCACCATCTCGTCGTCTCCATCTCTACCTTGCCGACGGCCATTACCCTCCCCATTCAGACCGCCGACCACACCCTTTCCCATTCCCCATTGCCTAATTTGGATAATTCCTAATTTTGGATTGCCATAATTTAGTTGGTGTTTGAATTCAAATTTTCCCAAATTTGAAATTCAAATTCTTTCATAAATTATAAAATCTAGCTTAGGAAAGTTTTCAAAAATTTTCTCCATCAAATTTTGAATTAATTAGAATGACTTAATTCATTCTAAATCTAACCACCAAAATTAAGGAAGCATTAAAGCCTCCTTAATTCCCTCCCTCTCTCACCTCCCCTAGCCACCGGCCATACTTGGCTATGTTGACCTCGTTTTTGTCTTGATTTTCCCTCGAGCATGTTCGAGCGAGTTGATCGAGTCTCGTCGGGCTCGATTCAATTCAAATCGACACTAATTTGAGTTTGATTTATTTTTTTTATCTTATTTTATTGAAGTAATTTTGGTCGAGTCGAGGCGAGTTCGAGTCGACCCGGATCGAACCAAACCCTACTCAATTTGAATTTGATTTGAGTCCCTTAGGTGCGGCTAAGTCCTAATCAAAATTTGATTGACTCTCCAAGCCAATTGGAATCCCACCGTTGGATCAAGAATTTGATCGGATGGCTCGGATCTCCCCTCTTTTTCCTCTAATGCCCTAATTGAGGTCAAAGCCTCTAACACACGCCGCTCTCCCTCTCTCTCCCGACCCTCTCTGTTCGCATGGAGCTAGGTCAAAACCCCCTTGCTCTCTCGGTTTCGCAAATCCCAGACAGGCCGAAGCCCCGACTCCTTCTCCCTCCCTCTGTCTCTCTCGGGATTTTTGCACAGCCCGCCCCTTTTCCCCCACCCGGTCTCCTTGCTCCAGGAGTTCGTCAGCCCCTAGCGCTCGAAGAAGCCCTAGCCGAAGTTCCTTGGGCCTCCTCTTGTTCGCAGAAGTCAGGAGGCCGAAGGACGTCTCCCCTCCCTCTCTCGTTGCTGCTGGCCGTGAACCCCAATCGACGCCTCGCTCTCGTCCGAAGCAGCCCTAGCCGATACCCTCGCCGGACCCGAACCCCCTGTTCCGCCTCTCCCACCTAACCGAGCCAAGGAAGCACAAGATGGTGCACGATTTGCTCTAGCTAGGCTTCCATTTCTATCTCTACAGCAGGTATATTCCCCTCCTTCGCTTCTTCTTCTTCTTCTTCTTCTTCTTCTCATTCTCCTTCCTCTCACCTCCATTCTCCCCTTCCTACTCATTCTTCACTGTGTTAGAAATTATGGGAATGGCTATGTCTCTCCAAGCAAATGATTTAGGTGTTGATGTAGGTTGTTAAAAAGAAATGAATGGTTACATACGAGATTTACATTCTTTTGTTATTTTGGTTTATGTCATGTGATTAGGATGTTTTCAGATAGCACAAATCACCATGTATGCTTATTAACTTTATCCTACCAATTACTTTGGCAAGTAAAGTCTGAGAAAGGAATGAGTCACTCTTGAATTGTTGGAAGGAGATGAATGATTTTTTTTTTCTTGCTATTCTCAAATATATATATATATATATATATATATATATATTGACATAAGTGTTAAGTTGAAGTGAGTATATTTGTTGCGGTTTGGGAGAGAGAGATGATAAACGCTCATGAGTCTCTTATGAAACATCTTCGGAGTAGTATTGGAAAACTTTAAGTTCATCTCTCTTGCATCTAATTACCCTTCTTCCTTAAGTGGATGCATCTTTCTCCCTTTTATTTGGTGAGGTTTCGTGGGTGTAAGGAATAGTGGTTTCCATATTTGGATCACTCATTTTGTTCTAAAACTCTTGGAGGTGATGAAAGATTTGTTTCATGATAGAAAGGTTGATGTAGATTGATATTCTTTTGGTGGTTGAAAGGAAGGGATTTATATGGTAAGATTTAACTTTTGAGGGATATTTGTTGTTGTTGTTATACCTCTTGGGTTGGATTTTGATCTTCTACACCTTACTTTATCTAGATATGAGCTTTATCATTATAACATGAGATATCGCCCTTAACAAAAGGCATTGTTGTGAGCATATGAATTTTACCGTATCGGAAGGTTGGCCCAACATATGAACCGTTGTGGAGTCTTTTGTTCTTTGAATTATACACTTGCAAACTCTCTTGAAATGTTTGACGATGCATAATATGGGACTTATTGGAGAATGGTCAAGTGTTTTGAATGTGAGTTTTGTATAGATTCATGCATGGTATTGCTTCGTGTTGGTGGGGATACCTCTTTTTGTTGAATTTTGAGAGAACAAATATGTATCAAAACTTCTTTTTCATAATTGTTTTTTTTTTGGTTGAGGTCTAATGTTAAGTAAGTTGTTTGCTTACTACTTGATTCGAAAATGCATGACTTTGGGTTTTCACTCTGAAAAATATGTGATAATTTCATGAATACATGTCTGTTAGAAAACAATTTCATGAGTTACTTTTGGGATGGAAATTTCCATGACTTGTTTTATGTCGAAAATCTTATAAGTTGTCTTATGATTGGAAAGTTTTGTGTAGCACGCCATGTTGAAGAATTTCTACTTGGTTTACACGTTAGAAAGGATTCGTTGGGTTTATGTTTCATATAAAAGTTGTATTTATAGATTTAATATAATGATACTATAAAGCTTTCTCTTTTGGTGAGTTTCTTAAGTGCCTTGGAAGAAAATTTCGAAATGGTTGCTAGAATCTATTGTAGGCATTTGTGACCTTTTGGAATAAAAATGAATGTGAGATGATTTATGAGGTTTTATGTGATGGTTGAGTTCTTTCATTACTTAGCTTAAGAATTATGATTACTTTCCTTAAATATGCATGGTGCTCCCATTTCTTCCCTTATAGAGGTGTCGGATGTGTGTTCAACAATGATTATTCATGAAAATGTTTCCTTAACTAAACTTCTTTCTGAAAATGAGCAACAAGTTCTTTTTAGCGTCTTTTCTAGAATTAAGATATAAATGTTAGAGCTACTCTCATTGAGTCTTCCAAGTTGTGATGGCACTAACGAACTCACCATTAAGCTTTATCTTTAAACAAAATGGAATCAATTGTATTTGTTCCATGAATGGAAGGTTATTACATGCATGGCTAAATGTTTTATTAGAAGATTTTATGCAAGCTTGTATTTATACCATTCCATTTACACTTGACTTGATGTTATTGTTACGGAAGTTTATAGGAGAGTCTTCATGTATATTTATGTTATAGCATTTGTGGATGATTTAATGAAAAGAGTTTTAATTTATCTCATGAAATAGTTATGATTTGTTTTAAAATTGGAAGGATAACATGATTTTGTTTTATGCTGGAAAATCATGCTTCATGTGTTTCTTCTTGTTGGAAGGCTTTATGAGTTTTGTGATAAGTTTTATGAATGTTTTATGAGGTTTTTTTCTCAGTTTTACCCCACTCCGAATGTCATAGAGACACTTGATTGTTTTGTGTTAAAAAGTGTTTTGTTAGATTTTCATGTGTCATTTCATTTGAAAGCTTTCATAAGTAATTTTGGGATTTCTAGTTTTATTATTAGCTTTGTGTAGTGAAGTCTCTTTGGGTCTTTTTGGAACAAAAACAATATTTCTTATATAAATCGGCTTTCTCTAATGTTTGCTTCTAAAATCTAAGGTTGGAAGAAGGTAGTAGATACAAAGGAATTTTGTTTTAGTTTTGAGAACTTGAGTTTCCTTTGTTGCTTCGAGTTTGGTAAGGAATAGTTTGCGCAGTCGAGTCGGGTCCGTATCAAGTGCTGTGTTTGGATCGTGGGGACAGTAAATGGCATTGAAAATACCTTCTTCTCTATTCGTATTATATCGAATTAGGGAGGAGGCTATTTTAGAGACACACTTGGCTTCAAAGAAGTGTGCCTAAAACAATAATGCCTACATTCATTTTGTTTCTGATTTCTATTCTCTTCTTTCTATTGTGTCTAGTCGTTCTTTCTCTTATTTCTCGCCTTTCATACTGCTTTGTTACTTATTATTGTATTTTCATACATGAATCCTTAAGTTTATTGATATATGTACGAAGGTCCTAAAGGTTAGAAAACAACACTGTTTTTTTTTTTAGTCCTACAACCTTAGTGACACATAAGGATAAAAATTAAGGATCGAGTCTTAGATAACATAGACTTAGGGTGCATGTTCCTTATAGGATAGAGACATCAGAACATAGAAAATTTAGTGACACTTTTCCCTAGGATTAGCGTGCCTTAATCTGTTAATAACTGACCAATCGAATCAATCATAATCCAGCTTTTAAAACATCTCAAAACATCTTATTCTTAATCAAACCTTAATTAACGAATATAACTACTAAAAATACAAACCTAAAACATAAACTTAAATCAACTTTAACTAATCCCTTAATCAATCTCTAACCAACCTAAAATTTAAAAGATGTAGATTAAATTAGGAGAGCAAATCTAAACTAAAATTCATTAAGCTAAAAAATCTTCTAAAATCCAAACCTACTAACTCACCTGAAATTCAATCAAACATTTAGCTAATCTTTTAAAACAAATCAACAAACCTTTTAATACAATTATATCAACTTGGTTTTTAGGATGGACTACTCCGGGCTGCGGGGCTAAGTGTTCTAAGGAGGCCTGGTTCCTCGAGCCTGGTGGCACAACGCCACGAATGAATTCAATGGAGTGACAAAACTTTAAACTTAATTGATTATTAATGATTTGAATCAAACATCAATCGATAATAACTCACTCAATTCACCTTTTTTTTAATTTACAACCAACTAAAATAATTCAACAAAAATTGGTTGCCACTGGGTAACCCAGGCCTACGAGGCTATTAAGTTAGCCCCAAGGAGGGTGAAATAAACCTCACGGCCTCCGTGTGAAACAAAAGTGGTAATCAATTAAACAATAAAATCTCTAAAATCAATCATAAAATACTAATATTTAAACTTAAACTAAAATCCCTCTTTTGCCCTTCAACAAATCAAATGAAAGCAATCATAATTAAACTTCCCTACATAGGACCCATCCAAAACTACACAACATACACAAACTTAGATTGATTTGCTAGGAC